GTTATAGATGCTCTAAATGCCAGATTTCAGTCAGTACCTTTGAATAAATGTCTTTCTGTAGACGAGCAACTTTGTGCTACTAAAGCACGCCATCATTTAAAACAATATCTTCCGGCCAAACCACACAAGTGGGGTTATAAACTGTATGTGTTATGCGGAAGTGATGGCTTCTCGAAAATAATTCAAAATTTCGATTAGATAGCGAGCCCGATTTAGTTTCTAGTGCCAACATCGTTGTAAGACTATGCAGAATTGTTCCTTCAAATCAAAACTACAGAGTCTATTTTGACAACTTTTACACATCAGTTTCTTTGCTTGCATATTTAGGTAGCAGAGGAATTTACTCGCTGGGTACAGTTCGACGTCCAAGGATTCCGAATTGCAAGTTACCAACTGAGGTAGAGTTAAGAAAAAAAGACAGAGGTACTTTCATCTGAATTAGGGCGTGGTTCAAAGCCCACTTGTACTGAAGCTCTAGGCTTATTGTACCCCTCACAGTTTCTATCCCATCAGATTGATTTTCTTGATGAATTCAAGAATATGTCTGATGGGCGCTTTCGCGATTTATTCAGATTCCGGATATTGTACCCCGAAGTACCATTCCCGTTCCCATTTAAGGTTCCGGCAGTGGCATAGTATGTGAATAGGAGTTTCGTCCTCCTTAGAGGTACTTTAGAAGAGTTTGTTTGTAATGTTGATGGAGTCGATATATCCTCAGTAATACGGTTATATAACAAACCAGTCACTTTTTTATCAACATTTAAAGGCAAAATGCCTCTAACTGAGGTAAAACGACAGAAAGCAAAAAAAAATACATACAAATTAAGTGTCCCAGCTTGGTTCCAGAATATAATACCCACATGGGAGGGGTGGATGCCATGGACAGCTTTATTGGAAGATACAAAATTAGGCTAATATCAAAAAACTGGTACATAAGACTTTTTTACCCACATACTTTGATTACTATACGGGGCAAGAGAGAGGTCCGACACGCCCAACTTAGGGAGCGTTCAAGTATTACGTAACGCAATTTTTGGAGATTTTTAACCCCCCTCCTCCCCCCCCATGTAACGCGCCGTAACGTTTTTCTGTACCCCCCCCCCTGGGTTAAACGTTACGTAACCACAAAGTGACTATTTTTACCTAAAAATCACAATTATGTCACTCCATTTGAAATTTTGAGAAAAAACGTTTTAAAAAATGCGTGAGAGAATCTCTCTACGCGACTTTTCTGAAGGGTTAAAAAATAATAGTGTTGCGTAACGCGTAGTTAAAATCCCCCCCCCGCCCCTGTAACGCATCGTAACGTTTTACAAACCCCCCCCCAAATTCGTTACGTAATACTTGAACGCTCCCTTAGGACGCGGCCATTTTGAACCTTATGACACAGTTTATAGCTAAAGAATCATATCGCTCACTCTGCGTCGGCACTTTTTATCTCAATGTTCCAGTTTATACACTGCGCAACTCAGATAATACAATATGTGACAACCGCCTATAATAAAACAGCAGTCTTCTGCGTATCCTGAATTTGTATCCCTGGAGAGGATGTTATTTTGGAACTTTCAACTGGTCCGAGTGAGCTAACTGATTCTTTATCAATAAATTGTGACTCCAAAAATAATATTCACTGACACCAGCAAGCAAAATATCAGGTGCGTTTTAATCATCCGCTTCTGCTTCCGGAATTGTCGGTTCAGTCGTTCTAACCTGTCAGATTAAAACAAGAAAACCGACAATTCCGAAGCAGAAGCGGATGATTAAAACGCACCTATTAAAAATATTGCGCCAAGATGTAGGCAACACGTAATAAGGGTTCAAAATGGCGGAGTTTTCTATCTCCTTTTAAAAGGCACTCATAAAGCTACGCAGTGTGACCATTCTCGGTATAGTAAAAGAAAATCAAAGTATGTGTTTTTACCACCTAATTGACATGACGCTTGTCAAGACATGGCTGCTTTATAGACGGGCACAGAACGAAACAGAGAAGTTTATGTCTCAGGTTCATGTTCGTCTCGAAATAGCAGAGTGCCTTTGTAAGGCTGACAATAGCAGTAGAAAGCGAGGCAGGCCTTCCAAGGAATCAGTTGAATCAATGCTGACAGAAAAGAGAAAAAAATCTACAGTCTTCTCTCATGTACCACCCAAAGACGTTCGAACAGATTCGGTGGATCATTAGCCAATATACGATCAAACAAGACAGAGATGTAAATTTCCCTCGTGTTCTTCATTTTCTCATGTTAAATGCTCTAAATGCGGAGTACATCTATATTTAAATAAAAACAACAATTACTTTGTCTCATTTCATCATCAGTAACATGTTTAATACTTTAATGCTTAATGTATCAGATTTGATACGACTATATTTTTGTCAAAATAAACAAAAATTTTTATCCTAATTTTTTAAATTATTTTTCCCTACATCCTTAAAGAGAAACAAGCCTAAAAAACATTTTTTTGTTTAATTTTAAAAAATTGAGCAGTGTAGGATTGAACTGCAGCTTGATGAAATTAATTAAAAAATTATTGATGTCGTATTTTGTCTATATTATTGACAAATACTATGTGACCAAAAATATATTGAGATGAAATTGATAACTAGCAAAATAAACCCTTTTATGACGTTTAAAAAATCGATTAAAAATCTTTAATAATCAATGGAAGAAAAAGTTTATAGTAAAGTATTTTAATCATACCCAGTATAAACATAATTTTCTGCCCAGTTTGGTATAAGCTCTCGTACGAATCGGTCGCGCATAGGTAAATACGTAGACGAGGTAATCGAGAAATTTACGGATACCGGTAAAGTGTTAAATAAACGTAAAAAATACTTAGTGATCAATAAATTAGTGCTTTAAAAATATTAAATGAGTGTTTAACAAGGGGGAACTCCCTGACCCCGGCATAACGCCTCCTTTAACAAAAAGAATGGATGATGGAGATATGGAACTGAATGGATTTTCTCCAAATGGAACAGCTATATTACAAGATAATTCTACTGTAAGGAAAAAAAAAAGAACAGGAGAACAATATACCCAAAAACATAGAGGAAGGAAAAAATCAAAACAGGTATTTTTGTATAAACAACACAACAGCGGCCTATTCCACGTATATGTGGAAAATAATCAAGATAAATTTACAGGTAGAATAAATGCATTAATAATTTGATTCTAACAAATTTCCCTGAATTAGAAAATAAAATTTCGAGTATCGATTCGATTGGTAGAAATAAAATTAGGATTAAAATAAAAAACTACAAAAACGCTCATTATCTTATCAGTGAAAAAAGCAACAAAATATTCGTAGAAAATAACATTGAAATGTACATTACTAAATTTATAGTAACTAGACAGGGCGTTATTCGTGATATAGACCCCGAATTTTCGGAAGAATATATTAAAAATAAAATAAGAAATTATGATAGGATATTGCAATCTTGAAGTTTTAAATGTAAAACGAATTAATAGAAAAGTCACAAATGACGGAAAAATAGAATTTGTACCCACAAGATCGTGCGTAGTTAGCTTTAAATCGCAAACCCTACCCTTAGACTAGGTAGTAAAGAAAGGACTCATAACGTCGCTGAAAATCTTGTTCCATTCTGACACCAACGATATTTGACCAAAGGCGTAACATGTTATTGGAAATAAAAAACGAACTAGTATTTATGTTATTAGTACTGCATTCATCTTTTTAGGTATAAAACAAGTTCAAAGCGTAAAATTTAAAATAAATAAGTTACAATAAATAACACACAAAAAATATATAGAAATAAACTGAATGAAATTGTTTACATAATAAAATGAGTGTTTCTTTTTTAAATTCCGCAAAATAAAACATAATGATCTACATGTATTACAAAAAGATTTATTTTTACTTAATAAAGAATGACACATACACGTTTTAAAGACATCTTAAATACGTTTGTTCACGACGTTCGTGACGTTTTGAAGATCTACGCTAATACCCAAAAGATGTTTTAAAGGCGTCTATAGGACGTACTTTGTTACAAAACAAGGCGTCTTTAGGACATCTAATTTTGTACGTCTTTAAGACGTATTGCAAGTGTTTAAAGGTACATTTACATCTGACATTTATTGCATGATATTTATGTCTGTCAGTTGTTTAGTCCAATGTAACACACAAAAATTTCTCTCGGACATATATTTTTGAGTGTTTACACTGGACTAAACAACTGTCAGACATAAATATCATGCAATAAATGCCAATAAACCATTGTAATAAACCAATTATTAAATGTCGTTTAATTCAAAAATCAGAAATAAACACGAAAAAAACTTTGGTGTCACCAAAATGCTAAGCACCAAAATAATGGCGACCAATAGATAATTGACACAGATTACTACGTGTGCCCGATATACTTGTTACACGTCTTCTTTTTATTACTTAATTTGAGATAATTGGAGTGGTACTATTCAAAATTACCTTCATGTTTTTCAATTTGAGTTGCTACCCCCTGGTTATGCCCTTCTACGGTTACGCCTATGTTCTACAGTACCAGCAACAACCAGTATTGCCAGTCATCATATAATTATCAGATTGTAACATAATTTGAGCTAACTCCCCATAAAAATATTTTCCATAAAAAATTACTAGTTTTAACATAATTTTAAAAAAATCCTGTTATTCATCATCACAAACAAAATTTTGGGCGATTTGCATATACATAGGAACTAAAAAACTGAAATTAAATGATTTTTAAATATGGTTACCTACCTACTTTGGTTTTATCAATATTTTTTAATAAAGAAAATGTTTATTTGCTATGTTATTTTTTAAATAAATTATTTTTTTATTTAATAAAATTTATTAATTATTATGGATTTGTTCATTGTCTTACCTTTTCCTCCAAATATTAGAATTTTTTGGTGAAAATCTGATAAATATTGGGCCATAATTTTTCCCGCTATCTTTGGCAACACTGCAAACAACCAGCTGACAGAGACTGACAACTGACACATTTTTTCAACCGAAAAAAACGAAAAAAACCGAAAGTGTTTTGGTGTGGTGTTTGTATTGATATTGTTAATTTAAATGAGAAATTAAATGTTTTTTTGATATTTTTAAAAATGTTTCGAATAGATTTAATATATAAATATGGATAAACGAAGAATAACGATTTTTCCAGAGGCACTTGATCAAATTTGTCGTTTGTGTCTTAAAGACGATTGTACATCCAATATCTTCCTTGGAACACTGGCAAAAAATGGAAAGAAATACATAGATTTAATTTCTGTGTTATCTGGTGCTCAGGTAAGTACACCAAGTTTACATTTTAATAAATCCTAGAAAAATATTTCGGAAAGACAAGAATTCATTAACAAATACCGAAAAAGGCACTAAAAAGGTATATTGATAACGGAAAGCTTGATATTCCTAATAATATATATTTTACGATTTTCGTGGTAAAATGCAAGTATTGTCTCACCAACCAAGTAATAAATAATCAGGTTATAATGAAGTGATAAAAATTTTAGACTAGTTTGCCTCACCATTTCTGAAAACAGGTCTACTATGCATCTTATCTATTTAATATCTGTGTTTATTCCTTTAATTTATTTGTAGTAAGTAATATTTTTGTTTGTTGAATATTTAAATAAAGTAATTAATAATCCTTGGTTAAGTAGAAATGCAGCAGATGCCAATCTAAGAATTTAATTCAATGCTTTTTTATTCTCCTTGTAGGTACAGGAAAATGATGGTTTACCATCCAAAATATGCAATACTTGTGCTAATAAACTATACGATTTTTATATGTATAAGCAACAGATAGAAACCACACAAGTACTTTTACGCATTGCTCTGGGTAAAGTAATTGTACAACCTGCTAAACAGTCTGAAAGTTCTGAGCACAGCCTGCAAATAGAAAATAAGAATTTAAATATACAGAATGAAGTAATTACAATTGATGATGATGATGAAGATAATGAGACAAATTTTGGATACAAGAATGCCTCTTTAAGTGTTGAAAAGGAAAATGTTCAGGAAATAAACTTGAACAAAAATCCAAATGAAATCGATAGACAAACTATACTAAGTGTTTGTAAAAATAGTACGGAAGGTTCCATACTTAACAATAATTTATCAAATAAGGAAACACAAAATATTGAAGATGGTAATTATTTTGGTATAAATTCAAGTAAAAATCTAGATTACATTTTTTTGCAGTTATGGAATGTTGGAAAAAAAATTACAGTTGCATCTCTTGTAACAGTAATCTAAATACACATCCGGAGCTCAAGTTTTATAGTTTTCCACTAGAAACTAAAAGGTAAATTCACTTTAAAAATGCTAAAAAAAAAAACATATTCAATAAGCAATAAAAAAAATGGCAACTGGTTTGAGCCTATGTATTTTGTAGATGCAATGACTGGAAAAGAGCTTTGAAATTGGATAAAATAGAACCTATATCACCTATAACTCTACACAAAAATGTTTATCTATGTGACAGACATTTTACACCTTCAATGTTCTATGGTAAAAATAAACTTAGAAAAACTGCAGTACCAATAGATTTTACTGAAGACCGTAAGTGAATTTATTTTAATTTTTGAAGTTATTTAACACAATGTGGAATATTGATATAGATTTATTTCTCATTTTGGAATATATTGTTTTTACAGTGATCAAAAGTAAATATAAAATATAACATTTACCTAGGTATAAATAAGTAAACAAATTACATGTGATACAATCTACACTAAACAGTAATATAAACATTTTTTATCTTTACAAAATAATCCTCAGTATCATATAAATACAAATTAAGTAACTTTTTATGTTATTATGGAATTACTCACTGCAAGGCAGCATATCAACCCTTAATTCTATGTTTAATGAAACTAGTGAGTTTGAGGATTCTAAATTATGGATTAATGAGTATAACTTAGCCTGATGTGATTCAAGTAGTCGACACACTGGGGGAGTTCTAATATTTACCAAAACATTTTTAAAAGTGCCAAATATAAAAATCTTAATCATTGATAAGAATCTTTGGTTGTTATCTATAGAAGTTAGAGTGAATGGTACTAGATACGGTGTAGCAGGTGTTTATAGGTTCCCCAATGCTAACATTACCCCATTCTTTAAATCCTTGTTAGAATGGATGGATGAATATGTAGAAACACATAGCAGTTGTAGTGTGATTATTAACCGGTGTGAAGATAGCAGCCAATTTCAGCAGCCAAAATTTCCGGAAACGCACGATTGGGCATTTTTGTGGCGTACAAGCTAAATATGACAAAAATTAAGAAAAAAATAAATATCAAAAGACAAAGCCATAATAAGTTTAATAAACTTATGCTTTATCATTTTCATTAGATATTCATAATTTTGAAGTAAGCTGAACATAAAAAAAACATTTTTGGGAATTAAATAGCAAATGATAAGTAAAACAGTTAAAAGAAAACTTGCTAAAAAACAGACAAAGGGGTTGATTTCTCAACCCTAATATTAAAAAAACTCATAATTCCTAAAATAAATGAAAAGCCAAATTCATATTTGGCACATAAAAAGTAAATGGCTAATTCTATATACAGTTAAAAGGAAAATTGCTTCCGAACGGTCAAAGGGGTTGATATCTCAACCCTAATATTTAAAAAATTCATAAGTTCTAAAATAAATGAAAAGTCAAATTTATATTTAGCACATAAAAGGATAATTTCTAGTACCATATACAGTTGAAAGGAAAATTGCTTCCGAACGGTAAAAGGGGTTGATTTCTTAACCCTAATATTTAAAAAATTCATAATTTCCAAAAAAAAACGAAAAGCCAAATTTATATTTAGCACATTAAAAGATAATTGCTAGTACCATATACAGTTAAAATGAAAATTGCTTCAGAACGGTAAAAGGGGTTGATTTCCCAACCCTAATATTTAAAAAATTCATAATTTCTAAAATAAATGAAAAGCCAAATTTATATTTTGCACATAAAAAGATAATTGCTAGTACCATATACAGTTAAAAGGAAAATTGCTTCCGAACGGTCAAAGGGGTTGATTTCTCAACCCTAATAATTAAAAAATTCATAAGTTCTAAAATAAATGAAAAGCCAAATTTATATTTAGCACATAAAAGGATAATTTCTAGAACCATATCCAGTTAAAAGGAAAATTGCTTCCGAACGGTCAAAGGGGTTGATTTCTCAACCCTAATAATTAAAAAATTCATAAATTCTAAAATAAATGAAAAGCCAAATTTATATTTAGCACATGAAAGGATAATTGCTAGAACCATATACAGTTTAAGGGAAAATTGCCTCCGAACGGTCAAAGGGGTTGATTTCTCAACCCTAATAATTAAAAAATTCATAAGTTCTAAAATAAATGAAAAGCCAAATTTATATTTAGCACATAAAAGGACAATTGCTAGTACCATATACAGTTAAAGGGAAAATTGCTTCCGAACGGTTAAAGGGGTTGATTTCTCAACCCTAATAATTAAAAAATTCATAAGTTCTAAAATAAATGAAAAGCCAAATTTATATTCAGCACATAAAAAGATAATTGCTAGTACCATATACAGTTAAAAGGAAAATTGCTTCCGAACGGTCAAAGGGGTTGATTTCTCAACCCTAATAATTAAAAAATTCATAAATTCTAAAATAAATGAAAAGCCAAATTTATATTTGGCACATAAAAGGATAATTGCTAGAACCATATACAGTTAAAGGGAAAATTGCTTCCGAACGGTCAAAGGGGTTGATTTCTCAACCCTAATAATTAAAAAATTCATAAGTTCTAAAATAAATGAAAAGCCAAATTTATATTCAGCACATAAAAAGATAATTGCTATTACCATATACAGTTAAAAGGAAAATTGCTTCCGAACGGTCAAAGGGGTTGATTTCTCAACCCTAATAATTAAAAATTTCATGTTCTAAAATAAATGAAAAGCCAAATTTATATTTAGCACATAAAAGGATAATTGCTAGAACCATATACAGTTAAAGAAAAAATTGCTTCCGAACGGTCAAAGGGGTTGATTTCTCATCCCTAATAATTAAAAAATTCATATATATGAAAATAAATGAAAAGCCAAATTTATATTTAGCACATAAAAGGATAATTGCTAGTACCATATACAGTTAAAAATAGAATTGCTTCCGAACGGTCAAAGGGGTTGGTTTCTCAACCCTAATAATTAAAAAATTCATAAGTTCTAAAATAAATGAAAAGCCAAATTTATATTTAGCACATAAAAGGACAATTGCTAGTACCATATACAGTTAAAGGGAAAATTGCTTCCGAACGGTTAAAGGGGTTGATTTCTTAACCCTAATATTTAAAAAATTCATAATTTCCAAAAAAAAAACGAAAAGCCAAATTTATATTTAGCACATTAAAAGATAATTGCTAGTACCATATACAGTTAAAATGAAAATTGCTTCAGAACGGTAAAAGGGGTTGATTTCCCAACCCTAATATTTAAAAAATTCATAATTTCTAAAATAAATGAAAAGCCAAATTTATATTTTGCACATAAAAAGATAATTGCTAGTACCATATACAGTTAAAAGGAAAATTGCTTCCGAACGGTCAAAGGGGTTGATTTCTCAACCCTAATAATTAAAAAATTCATAAGTTCTAAAATAAATGAAAAGCCAAATTTATATTTAGCACATAAAAGGATAATTTCTAGAACCATATCCAGTTAAAAGGAAAATTGCTTCCGAACGGTCAAAGGGGTTGATTTCTCAACCCTAATAATTAAAAATTTCATGTTCTAAAATAAATGAAAAGCCAAATTTATATTTAGCACATAAAAGGATAATTGCTAGAACCATATACAGTTAAAGGGAAAATTGCTTCCGAACGGTCAAAGGGGTTGATTTCTCATCCCTAATAATTAAAAAATTCATAAGTTCTAAAATAAATGAAAAGCCAAATTTATATATTCAGCACATAAAAAGATAATTGCTAGTCCATATACAGTTAAAAGGAAAATTGCTTCCGAACGGTCAAAGGGGTTGATTTCTCATCCCTAATAATTAAAAAATTCATATATATGAAAATAAATGAAAAGCCAAATTTATATTTAGCACATAAAAGGATAATTGCTAGTACCATATACAGTTAAAAATAAAATTGCTTCAGAACGGTCAAAGGGGTTGATTTCTTAACCCAAATATTTAAAAAATTCATAATTTCACCTTTCGGAAGCATTTTTTGTATATGGTTCTAGCAATTATCTTTTTATGTGTTGAATATAAATTTGGCTTTTCATTTATTTTAGAAATTATGAATTTTTTAAATATTAGGGTTGAGAAATCAACCCCTTTGACCGTTCGGAAGCAATTTTCCTTTTAACTGTATATGGTACTAGCAATTATCTTTTTATGTGCTGAATATAAATTTGTCTTTTCATTTATTTTAGAACTTATGAATTTTTTAAATATTAGGGTTGAGAAATCAATCCCTTTGACCGTTCGGAAGCAATTTTCCCTTTAACTGTATATGATTCTAGCAATTATCCTTTTATGTGCTAAATATAAATTTGGCTTTTCATTTATTTTAGAACTTATGAATTTTTTAATTATTTGGGTTGAGAAATCAACCCCTTTGACCGTTCGGAAGCATTTTTCCTTTTAACTGTATATGGTACTAGCAATTATCCTTTTATGTGCTAAATATAAATTCGGCTTTTCATTTATTTTAGAAATTATGAATTTTTTAAATATTAGGGTTGAGAAATCAACCCCTTTGACCGTTCGGAAGCAATTTTCCTTTTAGCTGTATATGGTTCTAGCAATTATCTTTTTATGTGCTGAATATAAATTTGGCTTTTCATTTATTTTAGAAATTATGAATTTTTTAAATATTATGGTTGAGAAATCAACCCCTTTGACCGTTCGGAAGCAATTTTCCCTTTAACTGTATATGATTCCAGCAATTATCCTTTTATGTGCTAAATATAAATTTGGCTTTTCATTTATTTTAGAGCTTATGAATTTTTTAATTATTAGGGTTGAGAAATCAACCCCTTTGACCGTTCAAAAGCAATTTTCCTTTTAACTGTATACGGTACTAGCAATTATCTTTTTATGTGCTGCATATAAATTTGGCTTTTCATTTATTTTAGAAATTATGAATTTTTTAATATTAGGGTTGAGAAATCAACCCCTTTGACCGTTCGAAAGCAATTTTCCTTTTAGCTGTATGTGGTACTAGCAATTATCCTTTTTTGTGCTAAATATAAATTTGGCTATTTATTTATTTTAAAAATTATGAATTTTTTAATTATTAGGGTTGAGAAATCAACCCCTTTGACCGTTCGGAAGCAATTTTCCTTTTAGCTGTATATGGTTCTAGCAATTATCTTTTTATGTGCTGAATATAAATTTGGCTTTTCATTTATTTTAGAACTTACGAATTTTTTAAATATTAGGGTTGAGAAATCAACCCTTTTGACCGTTCGGAAGCAATTTTCCCTTTAACTGTATATGGTTCTAGCAAGTATCTTTTTATGTGCTAAATATAAATTTGGCTTTTCATTTATTTTAGAACTTAGGAATTTTTTAATTATTA